TGTATTTTCTTATTAATCAATATGATAATAAATATTTTTTCTCAACTTAAAATAAAAAATAAAAAACAAATTAAATTATTCTTGTTTTCTACGTTTTAAGAAAGAAGTTCTTGTTGAAGGAGGTTGTGATAAAAATCGAGAATCATAAAATTTTTGAGTATTATATTGCTCTATTGCTTTAAGAGCATCTTTTGAGACTTCCCTATGAGGAATTATTTGAACAAAATTTGGACTAACAGCATCAACCATTTCTTTCCACATTTCATATTCTAATGTACATACTGTTTGAGAATTATTTTCTTGTTTTTTAGAGTCTTTTTTAGAAGTACTAATAGATATATAAGGTACTCTGTTTTTAACAACAATAAAAGCAGTTCCTTCTTTTATTAAAAAAGATGTATAAAATATATTTTCTACTGTTTGCCCAAAACTTTTAACGTTTAAAACAAATTGAAAGAATGGCATTTCTCCTTTTTTTGTTAATAAATCTTTAATCATTTTAATTCGTTCTGGTGTTTCTTTGGCTGCACTCCATTCATCTGCATTAACTGTTTTGGGTTTAATTGCTTCTCCAACATCAGATTTAATTGTTTTTTTTCTTTCTCGTGTTTTTCGTTCAATAATAATCCCACGAATAAGAGGATTAGATGGTGCAACTTTCCAACCACTAAGTAAGACTTCTTTACCAAATTTAATGAGTTGATTTTCGGTTACATCATTATTTTCTGAATATAAATCACGAAAACGAGTAATAAATGATGAAATATCATACATTTTAAATCCTGTTTTAAGTCTTTGTGATTTTTCTAATGTAACACCTGAAGTAATAGTAAAACATTCTGCATCAAGTGCTGCTTCACGAGGATGATCTATTTTATCAAATATTTTACCTGCTTTATCAACAAAATTTATAATTTCATCATTATCTGGATTTGATAATAATTCATGTTTAGCTTGAATTTCTTGCATAATTTCACGTAATTCTTTACGAACTGCAGAACGATCATTAGGTGTTGACATTTATGAAAAGATAATCAAAGTAACTTCTTTCTTTCAATTTCTTCTTTTAATGAAAACCCTTTTTATTAAAAAGAGAAAAACATAAAATCATTTAAAAAATAAAAGATTGTTTTTCATTTTATTTTCCTTTTTAGAAAAGAACTGTTTTCGTTCATAATGACAAAACCCTATTGTTCCCATCTCCATTCATTAGAATATCATCAAATTTTCCGTTATATTGGAATTACACATTTAAGATTATTAATTCAAGTTTCTAAAGAAGTTAAGAGATGTGTAGAAAGTATTGATCAGTTACTTGTTCGACATGATTTATTAAAATATTTAAAAGAATTTCCAACAGTAAAAAAAATATTTTATTTTTCATTTAATTTTATTATTGAAAAAATTCCACAAATAACATTTCTTTCAAATTTAAGAGAATTAGAAATTAGTAATTTAAATTGTATTGATTATAATTCACTTAATAATATTCTTCAATCAGTTAAACTTACAAAATTAAATTTTTGTTTTTTAAATCAAATGAATGAAGAAAATAGTATTAAATATATTAATTGTATTGTAACAAATCAACCGTATTTAAAAAGTTTAAAAATTTCAAAAGATTTATGTTTGTATAAACATTATTCTAATTCTTATTCAGTTCAAAATTTAAGTCAATTAACTCGTTTAACTCAATTAAAAATATTTTCATATTCTAAAAGTCATTGTACATTACCAAATTTACAAGAATATAATGTCTTTGTTAATGACCCTCATTACTTTAATGAAACAATTCAGTATTTTACTCAATCTAAAAATTTAAAAACACTTATTCTTCGTGGAAGTTTTGCTGAAACATCAAGTATTTATAATGTTACTAAACTTACTCAAATAAATACTCTTGATCTTACTGGAACTAATATTGATAATGATTCAGAAGTTATTCAACTGTCTAATTCTTCTTTTAATACAATTAAATTTAATGGATTTTTTGGTATTAATGGTGAATCAATTCGTTTCTCAAATTTAGGAAACAAATTTTATATTGACTCTGAAATATATTTGGATAGAGAAATTGGTCATATCCCACCTTCTTTAATTAATCAAATCAAAAATGAACTTAAAAATACCTCACAAAGTTCTATTAGACCTTTTTCTATTTCAATTCTTTCTAATAAAATTACTTTACAAGCACTCATCATCTCAACTCTTTTTCCTCATTGTTATCAATATTGTCGTGTTGAAACAAATACTTTTAATTGTTCTAATTTTACATTATTTGAAGAATATGAAGTTACATTTAATCACATTGCATTTAGAAATGTTTCTTTTCTCCTTAATTTTAATGTTTTACAAAACATGTATTGTCTAACATCACTTTCATTGTATAAAATAAATACTGAATTACCTATTAACTTATTAACTCAATTAAAAAAATTGGCTATTTATGACGGTATATTTCAACATATCAATAATTTGAAATTAGAATTTATTCGTTTCTTTAAAGTAAGACAAGTTAACATAAATGAAGTTATTGAAATGACTACTTTAAAAAGTATTTTTTGGAAAGAAATGGAACAAGATTTACCACTCAACAATTTAGTGACTACCTCAATTTTACGAATTGTTATTGAAGAAGAAAAAATACCTATTGAGGATTTACCAGCTTTTGAAAAGAAGAGAATATTTGTTAATTCTTATGATTTTGAGTTTGATGGATATGATGAGTCAGGAGAAAACGAAGACCTTTCAAATTCTGATAACTCCGAAGATTCTGATAATGATGCGGATATTAACGTTGATGAGATTGAATAATGAAGAATAGTAAATTAAACATATATTATATTTAATTAAATTAAATTTTCTCTTTTTTTTTCCTCATTTCATTTGTTGTAAAAATAGAGAAGATGATTTGGAAAAAAGCGATAAAAAAATAATGAATGAAAAATTAAATGAAAACTCTAAATACAAAAAATGTCTTTCAAAAAGGTAGTATGTTTTCCCTTTAAATTATGGAACATGCTTCCATATATCCAACAATTAGTGTTATTAACATTAATAATTTTACTACCATTTCCTTATATGATAGAACCTGGTTTATTATCAATACCATATTTATTAGAATTTTTAGTAGTTTCATTTAGTGGGATATTTACAGAAACATATATTTTAAGGGGATGGTCATTATTAATTACTCTGTATTCATTTGTTCATTTTATTCTTTTACTTGTATTTTATTTGGTTGATATCGAAGAACATTGGGGACTAATGTTATGTGGATTAATGTTTAAAAATCAAAAACAAGAATATTATATTCTTCATACAATTTTTGTTGGAGTGATTGGAATTATTTCTTTTTTTGGAATTTTTTCACGTTCAGAAAAAATTATTATTCGTCATACAGCTTTAGTTCCAACTCTTACTGCTTTGTTCTTTTTTATTTCTGCTTTTGTTGTTAATTCATCTCAAGGAGGAATCATTCCAATTTTATTCTTCTTAGCTTCAATAGTTTTAATTATTTCACCAAGATTATTATTTAAATTCCTTTCAGTCTCACTTGCTTTTATAATGTTTATTTATTTAATTATATTATCATTGTGGAATGTCTTCTCATTTGTTTCTAATGAATATAATTTCTTTCAGGTAACTGAATTAGATGTATTACAAAAAGCTATGTCTACTGTTGGATTTTCTATTGTTAAATATCCTTCTTGGGTTTTCTTTGGTATGAATTATGTTGCTTATTTAATGTTTCCTCTAATATGTCTTTGTATCAAAATTATATTTAATGAAAAAGAACCAGAAAATAATTTAGAAAATTCTCCACAAACAGGAATAACAGAATTTACATCAAAAACAGAAGAAGATAATTCAGAAGAAGAACCATTCATTGATGAAAAGAAATCAAAAAATAAAATAATTAAAGAAGGATTAAAACAAATATATAAATTTATTATTACATGTCTAGCAGTTTGTTTACAAATAATTGTAAAAGGAGGAGTATTTATTTCAATTATTGTAATGTTTTGTGTAGGTCTTGTAAATATTAACATCTTTGGATTTTCATTTTTAGTTATTTCTATTTCATTAATATTTATTCCAATTAATTATTGTCAAAAATTATGGCCAATTGTTATTATTTATACATTAATTATAGTATTAATGGAAATGATTGTTCAATTAGATTACATTGATATTTCATCACTTCCATCATACACTGGATTATATAAATTTAACGAACAAACAACACATTCTGTAGATATTCAATGGGATGATACTCATCTTGGAGAATTAATATCAAAGATTATTTTATTATTTGTTTCATTTCTTGAATATTATGCAAATAAAATTGGTGTTAAAGTGGTTCATGATGATAGTAAAATAGAAGTATTTAAATATTCATGTGCAAAATTTATTGATTTCTGGGGATTATTTATTTGTTGTGTGGTTATTGCAATTGCTGCTTTTTATGAAGACATTAATATTGAATTAATTTTATATATTATTGCATTAGCAATTCTTGTTCTCTTACAAACCCATTTTGTTTATTCCAAAGTAGTAATACAATTTATTTTACCTATTTATTCAATCATATTCTTTGTTGTTCTTCTTGTTCGTTATGTTTCTCAATTTAGACCTGATTCAGTTTATTCAAACAATAATGAAATTTATATTAATAATTTTTGGGATATCTTTACTGGAATGAGTCAAGTAGAAGTTGGTTGTTTAAAATATAATTCATTATGGGAACGTCTAAAAGGATTTTTACCAAATATTCTTGTTATTGCAGTTTGTGCTATAGAAAGTCGTTTATTAATTACTGTTCCTCGTTATTTAAAAGAAGTTGAAGATATGTACCTTGCTGAATTAAAGAAAAAGAGAGGGGTTCAACATTTTGACCGAGATACACTTCAATATTCATTCAATAGATTTGAACAAGAAGCACGTTTAGCAGATGAAAGTAATGAAGAAAAGAATTTAACTAAAGTTGAATTAATTTCCACAAGTCAAGAAGGACATAAAATTCTTAAATCTAAGAAAGATAAAACAAATAAACAAAATAAATATTTAGATGATGAAGAAAAGGTTCAATGTATTCCTAAGGTTATTTGTGAATTATCTGATTTAGTTATGAGGTTTTTAGCAATTTATATTCCACACATATCAGTTATTTGCGCTATTATTATAGCTGCATATCCAATTGTTGATTCTACATTTGAACATCAAACATGGGATTGTTTACACTTTTTATTATTCATAACAACTATGATTTGTCTTCTTTCTAAGAAAGGATTTAATGCAGCATGTGCTCCATTATTATGGGTTTGCACTATTAGTATGATTATATTAATTATTCCGAATTTTAGAACATTCAACCAATTAATAGACCAGTATAATGTTTTTGGATCAACTCAAACAAAAATATGGGTTTATAGTCTTATTGGAATTAAAACATGTTTTGATGATGTTTTAACAGCACCTAAATGTGTTTCTTATGATGAATTAAAATATCCATATTGTTGGGATTTAATAAAGGATTTTCTTGTAATTTTTTTCCTAATTATTATAACAAGGACTTCATTTTTCTGGGGAAGAATATATAAAAAGAAAGAAAGATTAACATTATTTAGATATATTGATTTGGAATATGATTTAAAAAAATATTCATGGAATAAAGTAAAATATTATATTTCAAATTTCTTCAGTTATTTTGGTCCACTTTATATTCTTTTGGTATTAATGATTTGTATTTGTTTACATGCTAATGATTTTATGGCAATTCTTTATATTATTATTTCTTTAGTTGCAGTTATTTGTCCACATAAAATTCTTACTAAAATGATTCCAGTTGTAGAAATTATTTTATTAATACTTGTTATTATTAACTCAGTTTGGACAATTCCATTAGAACCATTAGATACACAATGGGAAATTTGGAAGAAATGGGATTGGGATATTGATTATTCTTTAAGAAAATATACATTATTAATGCCAGTTGAACAAGGTAAAAAATTATTGGTAATAAAGGTATTTGACTGTTTATTTATTTTTCTTATTAACCGTATATCCTTCCATTTTAGAGAAGGTCATGTTCATGAAATATATAAATTCATTTCACCACCTTATTTCCCTGAAGAATCTCGAAACATTTTTGATGGGGTTCATCGTGTTTTATTAAAATATTTTAATCTTATTTGTGGAATTGTTATAATGTTACTTGCTGTTAATCGTAAAGATATTATATCATATGTTTATGTTGGAATGACAATGTATATTGTTTTTAAAGGTAAATTCCTTAGAGAAAGAATTCAATGGAAGATATTACAAGTTTTAAATTTCTTTATTCTTATTGTACAAAATATTTTTGTATTATCTTCTCTTCTTACTTACTTTAAAGATGATGAAGAAACTAAAAAAACACAGGGAATTAATTTAGTGTTGCAAATCTTTGAAACATTTGGACTTTATATGCATGCAGGAGAACCATTTGTTTTTAATGTAGTTATATTATTTGTTATGTTAATTAGAAGTGCAGTGTTTAGACAAATACCAGAGACATTCAGAAAATTAGAAGATAATATTGAAAAAGAACGAGCAAATATCTTTGTAAAATTAAAAGAGTTGATTGATTTAGATAGAGACAAAATAATGATTGAATTAGATAAAAAATATAATGAAAAAGTTCTTCGTATGAAAAGATTAGACGAGTTGAGAGAATTAAGAAAAAAAGATAGATTAAGTGATTTCCATGATAATGATCTTGTTGAAGTTTCAGAAACAGCTCCAAAAGAAATTATAACGAAAGGATTCTTCCAAAATCTTTGTGGTACTACAAAAGAAATTTCTTTAAACTGTATTGATGCTTTGATCCATTTCTTACATAGTAGAAATCTTGTTGTTCGTTTAAATTTACCTAAAAATGCTACTGATGAACAAATAGAAGATAGTTTATATACTACAATTAAACCAGTAAGTAAAGAACCATCAGCTACTTTTACCCCCAAAATTGGATCAACTAGACAAACTCCAAGAAATACAGTAGATGTCATAACATCTAGCGACATTGTTCAATCAGACGATAATGATGATAATGATGAAAATGTATTTTATTCCGTTAAATCATCACCAGAAAATTTATCAATAAACTCTTCAACTTCCTCTTCAGAAGAAGAATCAAATGTTTCAAAGGAAGAAGAATCAGAGGTTTCAGAAGAAGAGAATCCTCCACCATCAGCCAAACTTGTTCCAAAGAATGAAGTACAACATCAATTGAAATCAATGTCAGATATTATTGAAATGGAACAAAAAGAAGAAACAAGTCAAAAAAGTTCTTTATCTAATTTGGAGAATCCTAATGTTAAGTCAAATACAACCACTCCAGAAAAAAAAGTTACAATGAAAACTTCAAGAATTTATTCAAGTAAAAATCAAATTCCTATTCATAAACCTATTCCACAAAGAAATTATGAATTTATTCAAATTCATGAAAGAAATGAACCATATAAATATAAAGGTAGAATATATATGTTATTCTGGGGACTTTGTTTTTATTTTGGTCAACAAACCGAGGTTTTGGTTCAAATTATTTTAGTGATTAATGAATTAATTAATCAAAATGTTTTAAGTGCTGTGTTCCCTATTATTGGATTTGCTGTTATAGCACTTTCTATTAGACCATACCCAACTAAATTCTTTTGGAATTTCTTATCATTGTATAATGTATGTCTTATTCTTGTTCGACTATTCTTCCAATTACCAGGATTTTGTTTAACTCCAAATGAATATGATCAACAATATGATGTTATTTCATATACCACTCATATTTTTAACGAAAAAACAATGCAATGTGATGCTACACCATTAACAAAAAATCATATGTCTCCTGTTTATTTAATAGGAATTTATCCAGTTCATCGATACATTGCATCAAGATTTATTTGGGATATTCTTTGTTTATTTGCAATATTAATACATTTGTCATGTATGAGATCACGTGGATATTGGAAACAACAATATTTATTAAGAAGACAATGGTCTAATTTGATTATTGAAAATTATAGAAGACAATTAGTCAATAAAATTAAACCAAGAACATTTGGAGAATTAAAATTTGTTGTTGAAGCATTAGTAGATTTTGAAGCACCTGATGGAGAAGAAGATTTTCTTTCATATAAAAAACATGATTTGTTTGTTGTTGAAAATATGCAAGTTAATGGAGATTTATTTGTTTCCAAAGGAGGGAAAATGGGACTTATTAATTGTGAAAATGTAACTATTTATGTTCAAAATGGTAAAGTAATAAATAGCCAAGTTTGTAAAAAATCAAAAAAGGTACATAAAAAAACATATGACAAGAAATATTGTGTAAAGAAAGATAAAGTTTTAGATGCTATTGATGAATTTGAATGTGTTAATTATCATGAAGTAGAAATGTTATCAGAAAAATCTCTTGAAGTTAGTGAACAAATGAGTTCAGATAAACTAAATAATTTCCTCAAAGATCGTGAGGAATATTTGAGAGAAAAAGAATTAAAAGGTAAAAATAAAAATATGATTGATAAAGCTTTTAGTACAGTATATAGTCCTCTTAAATCATTCTTTAATTCTATTGTCAATGACCAATTTAAACAAGGAGCTGATTTTTATATACCATTGTTTATTAGTGAAGCTCTTTGTTTCTTATTCCTTATTATTTTCCAAGGTACTTTTACTAATATTCAAGGTAGTTTTATTAAATTCTTTACAGATGATTATTTACCAATTACCTATGTTCTTGGATTATTTTTACAATTTGCAATGATTCTTGCAGACCGTATTATTTATTTATGTAAATCTATTAAAGCTAAATTAGTTATGCAATATTTTTCATTACTTTTATATCATATTTTAATAGTTATTGTATATCCTTCATTTGTTGAAACTAAAACAAAAATAGTTAAAGCATGTCTCACTATATTTTACTTATTCAAAGTTGTTTATTGGACAATTTCTGGGCTTCAAATAAGAGCTGGGTATAATATATTATCATCAAGACGAATATTAATGACAAATTATTCATTCTATTCTCAAATGGTCTTTCATACTTATTACACATTACCTTTTGTTTATGAAATTAGAACAATCCTTGATTGGTGTCTCTCAAAAACTTCAATGTTTTACAAACAATGGTTAAAAGTAGAAGATATTCATGCAGAATTATATATGAACCAATGTGACCGAGTAATAGAACGTAATAGAAATCATGTATATGGACAGCCAAGAGGAATTGTTGAAAGAATTACTTCTGGATTTATTATGGTTATTGTTCTTCTTGCAATTTTATGGTTCCCATTATTATTCATGTCATCTGCTGCTCCTAATTTTACTCAACCAAAACCTACAAACCTTGAAGTAGTTTTGAATTTCGTTGGTCAAGGAGAATTATATAAACAACAACAATCAGTATTCAAAGAAATTACTAAAACTGAATGGAATGAGTTACAAAAAGACCATTCTTCATTATCTCTTCTTTCTGGTGAAGCTATTTATTCAAGTCAATTATCATCCGATGCAATGACTTATTGGTTATTAACACCTCAAAAGAAAAAAGAGTTAAATACTAATTTACTTGCTGATGAAACATTAACATTAACTTATGCAATTTCCATGTCTCGTGAGTCATCTGCTGCATCAAATTCATTCAAATTTAGTGGATCATACGAAATGAATACCGAAGAAAAAAAGAAATTATCAATAATTCTAAATAATGGAACTAGTGATTTATATTTATCTATCTTTCCTCAAATCTTGGAGATGCCAACCTTAAAAGAGAAAGAAGTCCTTAATGCTTTTGATAATGTAAATATTACTTTAAAGCCAATTCTTCACTTCGACTCAACTACTAACTTGTATTATTGGTCTGTTCAACAATGTGTAGATGTTGATAAACTTTGGAATTGTTCAGAAGGAATAAAGTTTTTCATTGCATCTCCAAAAGTTCCAAATTCTGGTATTTTATCTGCTCTTAGTTCATTAGGTATTATTGGTCTTTATACTGTTGTTGTACTTGCACTTTATTCTTTAATCAAATCTGATTATGTAGGTCAGGCTCATACAATTATGTTTAAAAATCTTCCGAATTGTTTGGGATTGTTACAACTTTGTGATGATATTATTATTGCACGACAAGATGGTGATTTACGTCTTGAAGAAGATTTAGTGAATGAACTAATTACAATATATAGAACTCCTTCTCTCTTGTTTGAAAAGACTAAGTAAAATAATTTATTTTCTTCTTTTGTTATTTTTATTTTAAACTTCTTTTCTTTAACAACCAACAACTAACCTTAATGTAAATTATTAAAAACTTAAGCAATAGACAGTGCAACTTCCATCATTTGTGTAAATTTGGTTTGTCTTTCTTCAGCTGAGAGAGCAGTTTCCTTAAATGGACAATCAGAAATAGAACAAATAGTTAAGGCTTGTTTACCTGCTCTTGCAGCAATAGCATATAAACCAGCTGCTTCCATTTCTACAGCAAGTACTCCCATCTTATCCCATTCTTTTAATGAACTTGCATCATCATAAAAACAATCACTAGAAAAAACATTCCCTACTGCATATTTAGCTCCAATCTTTTCAGCAGCTTCAACAGCTTTATGAACTAACTCATAATCAGCTATTGGGCAGAATGTTCCTGGGAGTTTATATTGTTGCATAAAATTACTATTATGACAAGCACCAGTTGCTATGACAATATCCCCAATATCTAATTTAGAACTAAT